CCAATCAATTTTTTTGTCAAATTCAAAACCACCAATAAAAAATGTACTTTTTGTTCACCGGCGTCCTCCTCTTCAAAACCATTTTCCGATTCTCCTCTCTGTTCTTGTGCCACCGTTGTCTCCTCTGCCTCCAGACCACCTTCACTTATTGGATGATCCATCGGAGCGTCTTCTTCGAAAACCTTTGAATAGCTACTGCCGCCGGAGTCTAGGATTTGCAGTGGGGTTGGGTTTTCCTCCTCTTTATGAATATCAGCTATGATTTTGCTTAACGAAACTTTAGGATTGAATATTGATTGGAAATAGGGAACTTTTATTGTCGGGAATCGCAAAGAAATGAAAGATGTTTCGTTGGTCGTTTTTTGGGTATATTGCTCGATTAAGCGATTTTACAATTTTGAAGGGAGGGGGTTGTTTTTTAATTTTCAAAATTTAAACAAATTTCCATTAATTATACTATTACCCATATACGTTTCAATCTTTTCACTCTAGCCCATTTTTGCATGTTTAGTTCCAATTAAGTGTGCCATGTTCGATTTTTAAATTTAAAAAAAAAAAGGGCCTCTATATTTCAGGGTTATTCTTTTAAATCCAAACTTGGGATGTATGGGGAGTTAAATTTCCTCAACATTAGTTATCCATTAAAACTTTTGACACACAGCAATGATATAGCAATGGAATCCCATATTTGCCCTTGTAAATGTGATATTAAAAGGGAAAGACTTAGGGTTAGAAAGGTAATTCCAAATATTAAATCTTATTTTGTCTTTTTGTGTATGTCATTTATACTTTAATCTGTTTTATTCATATTTTTAATCTGATTTTTTAAAAAGTAATTTAATAACTGTAATTTTTTTCTTTTTAAATTCGTAACTTCTTTTTTCTCTCTCTCTTTTTATTCATTTTTTTTAATCTGATTCTTTTGAAAAATAACCCAATAACCCTTTTTTCTTTCTCATTTTTAATTTCGTATTAAAACCCAGCAGTTACAAACCTCAGCCACATCGTGCCCTACCCTAAGGCCCAATCGGCAGCCATTGACAGCTATCGTCGTTCCCATTAGCCTCCCGTGCACCACACACTGCACCCAAATCGTTGCCATCTCCTCCATTGCATCCACACCAAAACCACTGCTATTGCATCCATAACACAACCATCGCCATTGCACCCACACCACAGCCCACCCTTTAGGGCAACACCACAACAGCCACATCAAACCAGATGACAACCATTGCCGCACCCATTGGCCATCAGCGTACCATCAGAACATGCAAAGTGCAACACATCTCCATTGCACCTACACCACAACCCATTACCCCTTAAACAATCACCACCACCAAATTAGCCACAACGAAACCAGATCACCAACCAACTCAACTTCACAAGATCTGCAACAACACCATCTAGGTTTAAAACAAGCTCCCTAGCCAAATTGATTATGAAAAAACCACCCAAGGCGTCAACATTAGGGTTTGAATTGAGGTGAGGCGGCTTCACTCCTCTAGTTTAACAGGAATTTCATGACACACAAAAATTCATTAAACGACAGTTAATAGTTATGGAACCAAACATTGCTTTTTGACTTTACCGGACCTAACTTACTGAGACCAAAATGTAGTTACCTCTCTTTTTCCCCTTTTATTTTTATTTATTTTTATTTTTTCATAATTTTATTCATCTCATTGCTATATATAGGATTATTCAAATAAAAAATAAAAATAAAAATTTAAAAATCTGATAAATTGTGCAAGTATATATATAACACAATATAAATTTTTCTACTAATCAACACATTTAATAGTGTAAATTTTTAAACTTGAATATACAAGTTTCACGTACTAATAAATATCAATATTTGCTACTTTGAGTGACACTAGTTGACCACTTATCTTTATCTTGCTAGCCTCCAATTATAAATTTTTACATAAATACGATTTTATCGATCCTTCAGCAAAATTTGTTACATCTTAAATCCTCTTAATTTCTATTTCTCCATCCTCAATCTTGTATTTTAAAATTAGTTAATTAAAGTGCTTAGCATAATTCCCATTATTTTCAGCCTAAATTCACAATAATGCTTTTGCTATTGTACAAATGACAATGGGTAAATCTCAACATTCTTTACATACATCATTTGGTAAAGAATTCCCATTATTTGGGAAGGAGATTTTCAAGAGAGATTTGGCCAAGTAAAAACTCTTCAATTGATTAAGGATGAATATGTAAATATTCCAATTCAAATCCTTCACAAATTTAAAAGTGCATTTCTCTTTCATTTAGACGGTTAATGTCTTAATTTATAAATAAAATAAAAGTATGGAAGGTTAGAGATAAAGTATTTAGATAAAACTCATATGACATCTTTAGTAAAAGATATTCATAACAAATCATTCTAAGGATCATCGATTTTTTTACTATTTAAGTGATCCAGCGATCTATATTTATAGGTGGGATATAATGTTTAACCCAACTATTAAAATTATGAGGTTAGATTTATTTTGCTTCCATACTAATTGACTTTTTTGAATTGTAAATGAAAGCCTACCCTCTCTTTCTGGAACACTCAGAATTACAATGAGTATTGAGACATAAATAATGTTATTCCAAAGACGCCTGTGTTTTCAACCCTCAAGTACACGTAGGGGTGGAAAAAACCGGTTAACCGAACCGGTTTATCCTATATTTGAACCGAACCGGATTCTGATTTAGGTGAAAAACTGAACCAAAATCGAACCGGTTTTTCACTTAAACCAGTTTGTAACCGAACTGAAAATTCAGTTCAGTTAACCAGTTTTAAACTGGTTTTTTAAAATAGTTTTGACCAGTCGGCCCAATTCAATAAAACCTTCCAATTTGGCCCAATTTACTATAGTTCAGAATGTCACTCACCCACTCAAGACGGTCTTTGATCAGACCAATAAAAAGGAGACCATAGTTTCCTAGGATTTTTCGGATTGGAGGTTGAGTGGTAGGTTGAGATGGTGAAACCAAAGACCAATAAAAGGGAGACCATAGTTTCCTAGGATTTTTTCAGATTGGAGGTTGAGTGGCAGGTTGAGATGGTGAAACCGTGGCTGATGGTGCTTGTACAGATAACTTATGGTTTTGATGATGAAGTTTTATGTGGAGTATGAAACTGAAGTTGCAGAGAAAGAAAAGATGGAGGAATGGATGCGTATTTGCAGAGAGAGAGAGAGAGAGAGAGAGAGAGAGGTATTTAATAAAAGTGAAAGATGAAGAAATCGAGAAAGAGAGAGAGAGAGGCATCTAATAAAAGAGAAGATGAAGAAATTGAGAAAGAGAGAGAGGTATTTAATAAAAGAAAAAGGTGGAGAAACCGAGAAAGAGAGAGTGGTATTTAATAAAATAAAACATGGAGAAACCGAGCAAGAGAGAGAGTATTTAATGAAAGAAAAAAATTATTTTAAAAAAAAAACCGGTTTAGCAATCCGATTCCGGTTAACCGGATTATTTTTTTCTAAAAACCAAACTGAATCCTAAAAAAAACCTAATTTCCAGTCCGATTTTTCGATTCGATTCAGTTTTCGGTTTTTTTTTTTTTTCCACTCCTAAGTACAGGCAGGCAACTTATGATTAGAAGTAGCATAATTTTGTTGGATTTGACCTTAGATTCTCTCGGGCAAAAAACACATAATTCTCATAATTTAACCTCTGAATAATTGAATTAGTATTATGGAATGCCATGTGGTTGGTATTATGGTGTGTTGTAGTAGAAATTTGTTGAATTAAACACAGCTTCATAGCTGGTGGGAATGTCGATGCCGGTTTTCTGATTTCCTAAAACAAGACTGTAATCAAGGACCAAGCCTCATGAGGCCCTGTATTATTGGTTGTACTTCGACTCTGGCTCCATCCAAACAGGTGAGTATGACTTAATGGTTGTTAGTATCGTACGATACGCGATACGAATCCTAGATATGATTCGATACGGGTCACTAACGATACGTATCAAAGGGTGTATCGCAAACCTTTCGATACGTTGATATGTATCCTACGATACGATACCAATCGGTCCGTATCCTTAAAAATATTGATACGGCTTTTTTAATTTAGGCTGAAGGCCCAAAAAAATTTGGAGGTCGGGTTGAAATAGATCGGGTCGGATGCAAGTCACCCGACCCGGTTCACTAAAACCCACCTAAAATTACCCCATCCCCAATTTTACCCTAGCTAAGATTCACTCATGGTGAAGAGAGCAGTTGCACACACCTTAGCCTTTCGGTCCCCACTCCTTAGCAGTCAGCAATTAAGCTAAAAGTCAACAAGTTCAACACGATTTGTTCAGGTATACTACTCTTTTTCTCTTTTCATTTCATATTTGAATTGTAATATAGTATTATAAAACCCTTGATTTGTTTGTTTGCTCATTAAGAATATAAAAAGTTGATTCATCTTTGTTGATTCTTGAATAAAAGTGGAGACAATTAAATAATATAGAGCAATTGCATGCACCATAGCCTGTCGGTCCCCACTCTCAGTAGTCAGTAATTTATTAAACAAATTAAGCTAAAAGTCACCCAAGTTCTACACGATTTGTTCAGGTGTACTACTTTTTTTCTCTTTTCATTTCATATTTGATTTGTAATATAATATTACAAAAACCTTGATTTGTTTATTTGCTCATTAAGAATATAAAAAAATGATTCATCTTTGTTGATTGTTGAATAAAACTGAAGACAATTAAATAATATAATATTAGAATACTAAGAAATTCCTAGTTGCATTGTTTTATGGATAACAATTTTACAAACCTCTTATATATGAGTTTTGATTTGTTTTCCTTATGTTATGCTTCTTCATTTGGTATTTTGCAGCCTCTTTTGGTCCATTAGATTAAGACTAAGATTTGAATCATGAGAAATAAGAAGGGAAAATTAGATGATATTACATGGGAGCATTGTAAAAAAGTGAATGAGGAAAATAGATTGCATCTTACATGTAACTATTGTGGTATACCATATTGGGGTGGTGTAATATGAATGAAAAATCATCTTGCTAGAACCCATATCCAAGTTAAGCCATGTGGTGAAGTTCCCGAAGATGTTAAAATGAAATTTCAAGAGTTGTTGGTAGCAAAGAAAGTTAATAAGGATGATGATGATGATGATATGGTTGACATTTTTAAACAGCAAGATGTTAATCCTAATACAGGTAAAATTGATAGTTTTCTTAGTAAGGGAAAAAAAGGAAGTGGTTCTAACTCTAAGCAAAGAACTTTAAATGAAGTTGTGAAGGATAGGGAAAAGGTAATTCAAGGTATATGTAGGTGTCTTTATGGCAATGCATTACCATTTAATTTAGTTAAAAGTCCTCTTTTTGTTGACATGTTAAAGTTAGTGGGAGATTATGGAAGGGGATTGAAACCTCCTACTTATCATGAAGCAAGAGTTTCTTATTTGAAGAGAGAGGTTGATCTTGTGGAAGAAAAACTTGGAAAGTATAAAAATGAGTGGAAAAAGAATGGTTGCACATTAATGTCAGATGGGTGGATAGATGGAAAGGGTAGATCATTGACTAACTTTCTTGTCAATAGTCCAAGTGGGACAGTTTTTTTGAAATCTATTGATACCTCCGAATTTATAAAAAATGCTCAAAAAATGTTTGAGTTACTTGATAGTGTTGTGGAGGAGATAGGAGAAGAGCATGTTGTACAAGTGGTAATTGACGGAGCATCCAATTATGTAGCTGCCGGTAGAATGTTAGAAAAGAAAAGGAGAAAGCTATTTTGGTCTCCTTGTGTGGCTCATTGTCTTGACTTGATTCTTGAGGATATTGGAAAGATTACGGTATTCTATGACACCATTGCAAAAGCCAAGCAAGTCACAAGTTTCATTTATAGGCATACATGGGTGCTTAATTTATATAGAAAATTTTCAATGGATAAAGAGCTAGCAAGACCGGCAGTAACAAGATTTGCAACATCTTTTCTCACATTGAGTTGCATTATGGATAGTAAACTAGCTCTTAGTCCATGTTTGCATCAGAAGAATAGGCAAATAGTATACATGCTACTACAGTTAAGGGGAAAAAAGTGGTGGATATTATCTTGAGTGATACAAGATTTTGGAAATCCATCCAATTTGCCTTGAAATGTGTGGATCCACTAGTGGAGGTTTTGAGGCTTGTAGATGGTGATGCGAAACCAGCAATATGATACATCTATGAAGCCATGAGAAGAGCAAAGAATCAAATTGCAAAGAATTTCAACAAGTGGAGCATCGATATAGAGAAATATGGAAGATAATTGACACTCGTTGGGATTTTCAACTTCATAGGCCACTTCATGCAGCGGCATACTACCTTAATCCTAAGTAAGTGTTGATCATTTTTTTTAATCCATATAAAAATTGCTTGAAAATTTGAATTTAGAAATCTAATTTATGTTGATTTTATATATTCGGTACCATTATGATCCAAACTTCAATCCGGACAAAAAAGTTAAAATTGGATTATACAAGGTAACTGAGAAGATGTATCCGGATGTGGAAACAAGAGTTGAAGTTGATGCTCAACTTGACAAGTTTAAAAGAGGAGTAGGATTATTTAGAATGGATATGGCCATAATAACAAGAGACAAAAAACAACCGGGTATGTTTGCTTATATGTTTGTTATTTATTTATTTATTTATTTTGGTTATAACTTACTAATGTGTTTATTATTATTATTATTATTTTTTAAAATAACTTTATGGTGGGACAGCTATGGAGAAGAGTGCAAAGAGTTGCAAACACTTGCCATAAAAGTCTTAAGCTTTACATGTAGTGCCACGGGTTGTGAAAGAAATTGGAGCACCTTTGAACATGTGCATTCTAAAGAAGGAATCATTTGGAGCAACAAAGATTGAATGCTCTTGTCTTTGTTAAATATAATCTTCAATTAGAAATGAGGCAAAAGCTTGGGGAGGAGAAAGGAGAGGCATATGATCCAATATGTTTATTGGACATAGAATCCGATGATGATTGGATTATGGAAAAAGAAGATCCTTTCTTGTCGGATGATAATTCATGGATGGATGTTCAAGAATGCTTCAACATAGATGAAGGTGCTCCTAGCAATAAAAGAGCCAGAGGTATATCTTACTTTGATATTAATCTAGCAATTCTTTTAATAAAAAATTGAATTTACTATGTATATTGATGGTTTGATGATTTCTTTATAGGACCAAGGAACTTAAATGCTAGCAACAAAAAAGCTAAAGAAAAAGTTGTTGAAGAAGAAGATGTACTGCCCATTTTATATGATGAAGATGGAGAAAGTGAAGAGAAAGATATATTGCCTATTTTGCATAATAATAATAACACTAGTGGAGATATAGATATTGACATTGATCTTGGAAATGATATAAATGGTTAAAAAGAAATGATATAGATTCTTAAGTTTATGATTAATTTCGATTATGTAATACCATAATTTAAAGCCAATAGTATCACAAAATTTGTTAATTAATCTTAGGGATTATATTAATTTTTAGAAAAAATTTATTATTTTATTATTTAAAAAAAATGTGTATCTTACGATACGATACAATTCGCGATACACGATTCGAAAAATTAGGTTTTCGATATACGATACGATACGCGATTTGACAACCATACTCACTTATCCACCTAATGGGCCTCACTTCAAATAATTGGTTTTCATTGCGAGCGCTTGTTTTTTGAACTGATAAAAAAAAAAAAAAAAAACCCCATATTAAATAAAATTCATTTAATAAAGTAGTATGCACATCATCTTCAAGAATTAATCTTATCTTCTTCTAATATTTTAAAATTATTCTCAATGAATTAACTTCCTCCTCAAAGCTATGAAATTTCAAATAATATTGAATATATACCAAACCAAACCAAAATAAAAGATTGTTAATCTACAAACATAAAAACAGTAGGATAAAAAATAAAAAATATTAATTTGTTTATGTACAAGAAGGAAATGAAAGGGTTTCAGTAATCAGATGAATGGTCAAATATTCTACTATATCAAACTTCTCTTTCTTACTTTAATAAATATTTGTGTTTCCAACTCCCAAAGCTTGCGTAAAAGAGTCTATGCAGTTGATTTTAAAGGGATAATTTCCAACAGGAGCAAATTTGTTTTAATTGACCAAATCAATTTTGAGTAAAATTGTTTGAATAGATAAAATCCACTGTGATCATAAAACTGTGAATTATACAAAACTTAATTAAATTTGTTGGTAGAAAAAGCAACAAATTCGGGTATCCAATTGCTATTAATAATTATTTCATAAATATATATTAACCAAAAGAGAATATCATAAATTCAATTGATTATTGTCAAACGTCTATTATTTTGGATTATCTCTCAACTTTTTTTTTCCAACCTCATTAATTTCCACCACAAAATTCTATGATAATAATCACTGTTGATGGTTTAGCGGTCAACTAAGACTTTAATGTATTATTAAAGAGCTCTTAAATTCAATCCACTTAGGTTGTTAATAAGAGTGATAATTGAGAGGATTTACCTAACCATTAACTTCAAGATTCTAAAGGATTAATTAAAATACACATAAACTAGTCCAAACACCCTGGATCACAAAAAAAAAAAAAAAAAATCATAAACAAAATTGATGGATAATAATCTTGGGCCAACCTCAATTGTGGTTGGTAGAAAATAATTAATTTGGAGAAAATTCTTTTCACATGCATCCAATTTTGAATACCCTCTTTTCATGTACCTTTCTCTTTAATAATCATGGCTAGAGCTGGGCATTTGGGACCGGGTCCGAAAGCCTAGCTCCAAAACTTGGTCCTAGGACTGGTCCTTAAGAGGATCAGACCTAGGAGGCCTGGTCCCATTTTCCTTGAGAGGATCGGACCTAGAAGGCCTGGTCCCAAAACGGGACCAAGCCTAAGGAGGAAGGCCCAGGCCCTCCTCCGGTCTTAGGCCTGGGCCCAAATTTTTTTGTATTTTTTCAATATAGTCCCCTACTAAATTACATAAAAACCCCTGTTAATTTTAAAATAAATATAAATTACTAGGGCTAAAATGAAATTTTATAAAATTTATAAAAAAAAATCTTCCAGATCTAAAAAATTTATAAATTTTACTCCTAAAAAATACTAAAAACCCCCTATAAAATTTCATTGTACCCCCAAAATATAAAAAAATTTGAGGGAAGAAAATAAAATTATCCAAGCCCCATGGGACCGGTCCTAGGCCCATAGGACCAGTCTCGACTAGGCCTAGGGCTTGGTCTGGTCCTGATTTTTCTCATGGGTCTGGGACCGATCCCAAGCCCATGAGTGACAGGTCCCATTGGGGACCAGTCCGAAGGGACCAGTCCCAAATGGGCCCAGGCCTGGGCCTGCAAGGGACCGGTCCCTGCCCACCTCTAAATTTATTCATGGCATAATTTTTACAACTATTGGCACATCTGTAAAGCAAAAATAGGTTCCTGTCTGAATAGCATCTTATCATAGTCTCGATTTCTCCATCTTTTGTTTTTCTTGCCCCCTTAATATTTGTACTTTTGTTGATGGTTCAAGTGGCGGGTCTCCACCATAATCAATTCATTCACAGTAAAGTTAAAATCAATGGATTGATTCTTTTCTGTAATTATTTTCTTTTTAGACACCTCGTCTTTAGTTTAAACTTTAATTTAAATTTTATTTTATATTAGAATAAGTAAAAAGTTCAAAGATGAAATTACTTTTATGTATCATATCATATGCAGATCAATTATTGATGCCCAAGCGGTGGGGTTCCACTGTTATGGAAAATAAAATTGGGAATAGCAGAAAATGCTTTCACAAACACGTTTTGGTCAATTATAAAAATATTTACTCGGAAACTTTATATGAAACGCCTTTGGGTCCACCTGGAATTAGCAGTACTCAACTGCTTTCTTCGTCTTTTCTTTTCTTCCTCCCTTCCATCTTTTAGACTTTTATTCATGTTCACGTGGTGGGTCTCCACTGTAATCAATCATTCACATTAAAGTTAAAACCAAATGATTGATGTTCATTGTAATCTCTCTTCTTCTTCTTCTTCAGTTTTCAGTTTTCTTCTATCGCTCAATCTTTCAGAAATCACTCAAAATCCCTTTCACTCAGAAACCTCTCTCACCCCTTCAGATACCAATAAAAATACTTTTACTCTAAAACCAGATCGCTTGATTTTTCACTCCTTTCCTGTTCCGTTATTTCTTGTTTATATACCCCAAAAAAAAAAAAAAAATCCATTTTCCTTACTTCTTGTTTACCAAAAAAATTCCTTTCCCATTTTCTTATTTTTCCTTTTGAAAAAGGAACAAAAAAATCTTCTTTATTTCAGCCATTTTCACCTAACTTTAGTTCAGTTTGCAGTTGCCCTATTACTTTCTCTGTTTTATTTTCTTTCTATTTTTCCCTTTTCCTTATTTCTTGTTTAAAAAAAACAAAAAAAAATTTCAGCATTTTCCCTGACTCTTGTTCTGTTATTTGATTTTGCACCTGTTTTTATCTCTGTTTTAATTTTTACTTATTTTTTATATTTTTCAAACTTGAGCAAGAAGTGAAGGAGAATTTTTTTTTTTAAAATGGCCCAACTTGCTGCATCTATCGAGGGTATCGGGAGTTTTGTTCTCCAACTTGGCCAGTGCTTGGTTGCTCCGATTGGGCGTCCATTTAAGTACTTGTACAATTACAAGAAGAACATTGACAGCCTTCAAGGTGAAGTTAGGAAGCTGAAGAACACAAGAGATGAAGTGCAGGTTAAGGTTACTGCTGCTGAAAGAAACGTGGAAGAGATCAACCAGAGTGTTAAAGACTGGCAGAAGGATGTTGAGAAGACCATTACTGACGCAGAGAAGTTGATTGAAGAGAAAGAAAACAATCCTTGATGTTTCAAGGGATTGTGCCCCAACTGGATCACCCGCTACAAGCATAGCAAGAAAGCATTCAAATTAAAGGAAGAAGATATCAATCAACTCCTAGATAAGAATATTCTTCCATTCCTGCCGCAAGAAGATAAAGTTGCCCATCCTACTATTCACAAGGAGATATGGCTTAGATCTAATGAAGATTATTTGGCTTTCGAATCAAGAAACTCCACTGTGAAAGATGTATGGGATGCATTAAAAGATGAGAATATCTACATGATCGGTGTATATGGGATGGGTGGTCTTGGGAAGACCACACTTGTGCAGGAAGTTGGTAAGAAAGCGGAGAAGGATGAGCTATTCGACGACTTTGTTTTTGTTGACGTAAACATTTAGGTCCGTTTTTCGTTATTTTGGGTACGATTTTTTATATTTTTAGAGTCGGTGAGAATAATAAGATAAAATTTAAAAATTAACAAAAATACATCTCTCCGTTTACTAATTTATTAAACACTCCAATATATAAAAAATTTATAAAGTGATAAAAATACTCCTATCTATAGTTGTCAGATTCCGGTTACCACCGTCGGAATCTGATGTTATGGCACATGATCGATTAGATTTGGTTGTTCGTGTGTCGTTATGATTGTGGATCTGATCGAAAAAGGTTAGATCTACGATCATTTCTGGTTGTCAATGGATAGCTGAAGGCCAAAGATCTGACCGAAAAATGATAGATCAGTATACTACTGACCACATCCAGTCGGTAGAATATCATTATATTAGATTTTAGTCACCTTATGACGATGATGGTCAGAATCTGACAAATATGGATGGATGAGGGTATTTTGTTAATTTTTAAACTTTTTTTAGGGTATTTAATTAAATTAATAAATTTAAGAAACTTAAAATAGTTAAAGAAAATATAACAGTATTTTGAAGATAATGAAACTAATAGTTATTTTGTAGATAGGAGGGGGAATATGATGTGAAATATGAAAACAAACGGACCCAGGTTTCATTTGTTGAGGATAAGCTATTCGACCACTTTGTTTTTATTATTATCTTATTCAAAGTTTATTTATTTATAATATTTATATATTTGATTGCACTTATTTAGACTTTTGGCTTCTATACAAGGATGTATGTTTGCGTTTATAATGAGAAGAAAGCTTTTAATAAAATATTGTTTCTTCACTTTTAATAAAGACATCCTTATTTTCTTTATTTTCGTTTTTAATAAAAAGCACAGTTAATAGTTTAACTTTCTTTTGTTTTTGTATTTTCTTTATTTTGTGGTTCCTGGTTAGCCATATATTTTTTTTTTCTCTTGCAGGTAACAGAAACTCCTGATATCAAAAAAATTCAAACAATAATTACAAAAAAGTTAGGTCTTAAATTCGAAGATGAGAAGGAAGATGAGAGTGAAAGAGCAAATAAGTTATATTCTAGAATGAAAGACAAGAATATCCTTTTAATTATAGATAATATTTGGGAAGAGCTAGATTTGAAGACGGTTGGAATTCCTTCTGGAGCTGATCGTGGAAGAAGCAAAATGTTGATGACAACAAGAAAAGAAGATGTGTTGGAGAAGATGGGTTCCACATATAATTTTAGGATGAACATTTTAAATGAAGTGGAAGCTTGGAGGCTATTCAAGATAATGGCAGGTAATTGTTATAGCTCATAAAATTTGGCATTATGGTTTGACATGAATAAATAAAAAGTTAAAAGCAATAATAACATGAAATAGTTTCAAAATCTGTATAATTAGTGGATTGATAGAATAATAGAGTTGGCTTAGGGGCATCCTATAACATCACATTAAAAATAAGAAATCTAATTTAATTGTTTTTTTTGAAAAATCCTTTGACATAAGTTTAATTAATAATCTAATTAAAGATTATGAAAATCAAATTTCTTTGGGGTGGGGATTTGGTTGCGGCTTGCCAAGGGGTTGGGGCTGCTCGATGGGGTTTGGCTGGGAAGTGGGGTGTGTGATCTTTTTTAATTTTTTCTAGTATTTAATTTTGTAATATTTTTACTTTTATTTTTGGTTTTTTGTCATCCCCTAAGATTAAAGCTAATTCCGAAATCCCCTGTAATATTATAAATAACAAAAAAAAAAACCCAACATTAGTTAGCCATTGAAACTTTTGACACCTAGCAATGAACAGCAATGAAATCCCACATTTGCCCTTGTAAATGTGACATTAAAAGGGACAGACTTAGGGTTAGAAAGGTAATTCCAAATATTAAATCTTATTTTGTCTTTTTGTGTAACTCATTTACATTTTAATCTGTTTTATTCGTATTTTTAATCCGATTTTTTAAAAAGTAATTTAAATACTGTAATTTTTTCTTTTGAATTCGTAACTTTTTTTGTTTTCTCTCTCTTTTTATTCATTTTTATAAATCTGATTCTTTTGAAAAATAACCCAAATAACCCTTTTTTCTTTCTCATTTTTAATTTCGTAACTTCACTTCCTGTTAAAACCCCAGCAGTTACAAACCTCAGCCACACCGTGCCCCACCTCAAGGCCCAATCGGCAGCCATTAACAACTATCGTCTCTCCCATTAGCCTCCAGTGCACCACCACTGCACCCAAATCGTTGCCATGTCCTCCATTGCATACACACCAAAACCATTGCCATTGCATCCATCACACAAACCAACACCACAATAACCACAGCAAACCAGATGACAACCATTGCCATACCCATTGGCCTCCAGCGCACCACCACAACATGCAAAGTGCAACACATCTCCCTTGCACCTACACCACAACACATCCCCATTGCAGCCACACCACAACCCATTACCTTTTAAACAACCACCACCACCACATCAGCCACAACGAAACCAGCTTACCAATCAAATCAACTTCACAAGATCTACAACACCACCATCCAGGTTTAAAACAAGCTCCCTAGCACAAATTGATTATAAAAAAACCACCCAAGGCGTCGCTATTAGGGTTTGAATTGAAGGTGGGGCGGCTTCACTCCTCTAGTTTAACAGAAATTTCATGATTCTTGGCCAAACAAAAATTCATTAAACGAAAGTTAATAGTTATGGACCCAAACTTTGCTTTCCTACTTTACTGGACCCAACTCACTAAGACCAAAATGTAGTTACCTCTCCTTTTTCCCCTTTTTTATTTTTTTTATTTTTCATTATTTTATTCATCTCATTGCCATATATAGGATTATTCAAATAAAAAATAAAAAATAGTAATTTAAAAATCTGATAAATTGTGTAAGTATATGATAGAATTTGAGGTGAGTTCGACTATTTACCCAATAAGGTCTTGTTGAATTGGAGGATTACTCTCTCATCAATAGACTTGAGCATGTCTTGTCGGTGTGGGAATCTAACACTCCCCCTCAAATTCTATCATGGTATCAGAGCTCAAGTTCAATTGAGCTGAGTGTTTGACCAGTGGGTGAGGAGTTAGAGCCAACAACTACCTCAATTAACAAGTATGACCCAACAAATGGGCTTGATCATGAGGGAGAGTGTTAGAGTCTCACACCGACTAAGCACGCTCAAGCTTATTAGGTTATAAGAGGGGATAATCCTCCCATTCAACAAACTCTTATCGGGTAAGGAGTCAGACCCACCTTAAATTCTATCATGGTATCAGAACATGATAGAATTTGAGGTGAGTTTGACTCTTCACCCAATGAGGTATTATTGAATGGGAGGATTACTCTCTCTTATAAACTCCAACCGTATATATATAACATAATATAATTTTTTCTACTAATCAACAAATTTAGTAGTGTAAATTTTTAAAATTGAATATACAAATTTGGCGTACTAATAAATTGCACTATTTGCTACTTTGAGTGATACTAGTTGACCACTTATATTTATCTTGCTAGCCTCCAATTATAAATTTTTACATAAATACAATTTTATCGATCCTTTAGCAAAATTGGGACATCTTAAATCCTCTAATTTCTATTTCTACATCTTCAATTTCTATTTAAAATTAGTTAATTAAAGTGCTAGTGTAATTCCATTATTTTAGCCTAATTCACAATAATGAGAACTGAATTGGCAGCTCATTTTCATTCCTCATTCTTATCAGCTTATTTTTCTTTTCTATAAAACTGTCTTAAAGTCTAGAGCTCTTGATAAGACAAATGTGTTTGGAAAGAAAAAAAAAAAAGAACAAGGAATAATTTTGGAGTTAAGTGTAGTTTTTTAGATTTTCAAAATTTTTGTGGCTTTCTTTAGAAAAGAATCTAATATGATAGCTAGAGAGAAAATAACAACACTTGGAATTTTCTTGTTTTTAAATCAAAAGCATGTGAATAGAAAATGCAAAATGTAGCTTCTTGTGTAGGTAATGTTATTCAAAGACGTGAACTGCATTCTTTACCAATGATGTATGTAAAGAATGTGGAGGTTTGCCCATTGTCATTTGTACAATAGCAAAGCATTAAGGAACAAGAGACAAGAATCTCAATGGAAAGAGCCTTGCGAGTACTAAGAATGCCTTCTCCAGCAAAGTTCCCGACTTTGGAAAAGAATATTATAAGATTAAGTTGAGGTGATTATTTAGATCATGATGAGCTACGAAAACTTTCATAATTTCTAGTCTAATGGAAAATAATAACTTCCATTTCAGACTTGTTCAAGAATATCGTTAGTTTGGGGATACTTGAAGGAGCTAACCTTACAATAGAGCAAGCACGAAACAGACTAGATTTAGTGGGCAATGAACTCAAAGACTCTTGCTTGTTACTTGATGGCTATACCAAAGATCGATTTTCTATGCATGATGGTGTTCGCATTGTGCTATAACATGTGGATATTTAGATCACCTGTGTTTACACAGAGAAATGACATTGAAAGCGAATGGAGAATAAAGATAAACTTAGAACATGCACAATTATCTCTTTAGTTGGTAATAACATTATTACTCAACTTTCACATGAAGGATTAGATTGTCCAGAACTTGAATTTTTTGACACGAGTAAAAGGGGTTCTTCTTTCAAAATCCAAGAGGGCTTTTTCAAGTTGATGCCAAAGCTAGGGTATTGAATTTATTCAACTACATCAATCATGTTGCCGTTGTTAATTGATCTTTTGACAAACCTTCAAACATGTGGTTAGACTATGGCAGAATTAAAGATGTTACTATTATCGGAAAGCTTAAGAAGCTAAAAATCTTAGCTTGCGAGATAATGATATTGAAGAGTTGCTATAGAAATGGGTCAATTGATTGGGTTAAAGTTTCTAGATTTAAGCTATTGTAGGCAATAGAAGTTATTGCGCCAGAGTGATATCAAAATTATCACAACTAGAAGAATGTATATAAAGGGACGCGGATTTGGTGGAAGGTTGAAGTACTCAAGGAGTTCAAGTACTTGTCTCAACTGACCAATTTAGAAATAGATATTAAAGATAAAAAAATGTTGCCTAAAGACTTCTTTCCAAAGAGCTTAAAAGTATAAAATATCAATAGGAGATGTTCATCATATCAAAAATTTATGGAAATGAGATTTTGAGGAGTTGGAATTTAAATTTAATCTCCCATCTCCCTAGAAGAAATTCTTGGATCAAGGATGTTGAACTCTTAAACTTAGCTGAATCTTCAGATGATGAGGAAGATCTTGCGGGTTCAAATTTAATTTGCAATCCAATGAAATCACACACACTTTTTAATGAAAAGGTTTGATTGATGTTAACCCTCTTGTACTTCTTTATTAGATTCTTGTTTTTCTTTATGCTTATTTCGTTTGTTAACACATAACTGTGGTATGAATTATTGTTCTTCTCTTTTTTGTTTTTTTGTTTTTCCTGTGATTTAAATTTCAGTTAAATTTTAAGATTCTTTTAATATTTATACTTTGTAATTTCTATCAAATGATTTAATTAATTCATGCTTGATTTCATGACGAAACTTTTTAGAGAGACAAAGAAACATTGTTAATACTAATGGCATGTCAACTACAAATCCAACATTCAAATATGATCAATTATTACTTCTTTTTTTTTTTTTTTTTTTTTTTTTTCATATGAGTAAATATTGAAACATCAATTATCTTTGACTTCAGGTTATTTTCTCCAATTGATGGCTTGCAACTGAAAGTTACTAGTTCTAGAAAGATTTGGGACAGCCAACCTCCAACATCATGTTCTTCTGATACATTTGAACTTGCATGGATGTGGAAACAAAAGTATGCATTTCCATTTCTGTAGCCAAAAGTCTCTCCACTCTCCAAGACCTTCATAAGCGATTGTACGATTTTAGAAGAGATATTTGCAGAAGAAGAAGGAGCAAAAGCTGTTGTTAATTGTCTTCCGCAAGTAACCTTTGATGCTTCAAGATTTACCAAAACTACAGCTTTCTATCATGGGATTGACACTTGGGAATTGCCAATGTTAAAAAGGTTGGTGGTGTGGGGATGTGACACAATTCACTTCAAAATACCTAAGCTTCCATGAAAATCACTTCATATTTCAGAGCCAAAATCCTCTGGTTGGAAAATAAGGTACGAATCTCTTGTTTACTTTTTTATGAAAAGAAAAAAAAAATCTTTATAATTACATAAATTGAAACTTAATAATGGGATTTTATCATCTGTTTCTTTTTTTTTTCTTTTTTCTTTTTTTTCAACAAAAAATTAGAAAAGTAATTATAGGAATCATCAAATGCTATAGAAATCATCAATATATAATTTTCTATAGGTTGTCATTAATTGGAGGACAACCTTTTGTGAAACTATAAGGAAAAAGACACAAGTTTTTAATAGCCAAAAAAAGAAAGACAAACTTCGTTAGTAGTTACCATTAAATCTAAGAGAAAAAATTATAAGACATAATACCCTATATAATAGGGACAATGACAAAAATTGACACTTTTTTTCTTGAACATGCGGAAAAGAAGACACAAGTTTTTAAAACAAAAAGAAGAAACTTAACTGCCCAAATACGTTTAAATTAATTAAAAAAAGTTGGCGATACAAAATGTCAAAAATATGTTTATTTTAAGAGAATTGATCCAGAAAACATTTTAAAGATAAAAGACTATTTAATGCCTTTAATGTACAAATGGAATATCAAACTGTCTCGAGAAATGCCAATAAAAAGAAGGCCTTTGATGATCCCATAGGCGTAAAAATCGTTTCCTTTTCAGGTTATCTTCGTCCTTGTGAACTAATTTACAAACATCTCAGTTCTAGTTCATTCAAGCTAAACAACCAAACGACAAATTTACCATAGCACCGAGCTTAAGTTTATTTTAAGCCTAATATCAAACTTGAGTTTATTTTAAAGTCATATTAAATGCAAGTCTTGCCATATGTTTAGTTTTCATAGGGTAGTAGTGTTTTATGAAAAAAATTTGACTATTGATTTATATATTTAAATGTCAATTACTTATCAACTAAAAATACTTTAAAGGATATAAAATTATAAAATAATGAATACCATTTTTACCCTTACAAAATGTTAAATCTAATTGTCTCTAATAACATTTTATCTCTTTTAAAACCATCCGAACTTTTGTCTCTTTCTTATAGTTTCATAATACATTATCGGCATGATAATATTCCTTTTATTTTACTAGAAACGTGTCTAACAAGTGAACCTTCTTATATTGGAAACATTACACAAAAAAAATTTGCAACTTGAAACCCAATTTCTTTGTAAGTAGAGAATTTATACTAATTTTTGCAGAGTTATGTTATGGTAAGACATTATCTAATTTAATAGTATATGCCTATATGTTATAAGACATTGAAAATTTTAATTAAAAAGAAATTGTGCCAAAGTCCAGCTTATCGTTAGGATGAGCGATAGGAGATAAAATCTAACAATGTTTAACAAATAGATATTTTGTCTCTGGCCAAAAATAGTTTTGTTTAAGAAAATAACAAACTAACTAGATTTTGTTTTGATGAATTTGTAGATCAAGTTGGATTTGAAGTTATTGAGATGTTTAATCAGTAGTTTTCATAAATGGTTTTCGAATGTTATTTTAATATTGATTAGAAATTTAAAATAATAATAAAATGTAATTCTAGTTTTAGAGATATTTGTTATTAAATTATCAAAAACAGTTAATTAGATTATTTATTAAAAAAATGTCACCGTAATTTGTGTTTAATCTATGAATTCGCAACCATTAAACTTTTGTTTTAAGAAAATAAAAAGCTAATTAGATTTTGTTTCAATGAATTTGTAGATCAACTCTGATTTGGAGGATTTAGAGTAAATAAAAGTTGAGATGGATTAAATGGCAGAGTCAATCTAAAACTCTTACAATTTATAATGATCACAAGTCAGCAATATTCAGTTGGACTCCTTCAGAGATTTGAAAATTTGCAAAAGCTTGAAATAGTTGCGTAGATCCAAAGGAGTATTCTCATACACAAAGGTGAGGAGAACAGATGCAAAACACTCTAGGGCCATCCTCAACTTCTTTCCCATATCTTAAAGTTTTGAGGTGTATCGTTGTAGTGGGTGATGAAGTTAATAACAACTTCAAGCTAGAAGCTTGAGGCAGTTGAGAGAAATGAGCTGAAGATGTGAAATGCTAATTGAAATAGTAGAAAATGAGGGAGAAGGAGATGCAACAACAACTGAAAAATGTTTTTGATAATTTGAAGAAGTTGTTACTTGAAGACTTAAAAAGTTCGTATGTTTTGCTCTGGAAATTACTCTTCACATTTTCCATCGTTGGAAGAGCTAATTATAGGAGAATGCCCAATATGAAGACTTTCTCTCAAGGAATCTTACGCACACCAAAGTTACAAAAAGTTGATTATGAGGAAATCAAGTATAGGAGCAGGGTAAGAAGGATGGAGTTGGAGAAGATAATGGAAGTAGAGAATGAGGGGAATGATCTTAATAAAACATACAAGGAGCATACAAAAAACAGGTATGTATTCTAGTATTATTTTGAAATCTTTTTGTTTAAGCTAGAGGATGCAAGTAATACAAGTGTACAACACTAAGAAGACACTTTTAAGTATTTTTACTTTAGCACACGTGGTGACTCAAATCAAAGATGAGTTTCCAGTTTTAACACTACTTGAATGGCGTTGATGCTGTGAGCTTGTAGGTTATGGGATGGCATCATCAGCTTTATAAAGCAAGACAAAAATGCAACTTTATATATTATTTTTAGTTTGGGCTTAGGCCTTTCAGAAATGATTAAGAGTTCGATAGACACATTTTTCTAATCCATCAGAAATAATTATTATTATTTAATTACTTTATATTGAAACAGCTATTACATAATTTTACTGCAGGACATTTCCCTGAATTGAAGTTTCTGACATTCCAAGATAGTTCTACAGAGATCTCCTACAACCAACATCCAAATTCCTTCTACCAAAATTTGACACACTTGATTTTGTCAGATTGTGGAAACTTAAAATATGCATTTCCATCTTTCATTGCCAAAAGCCTCCACCAACTCCAACACTTAAAGATACATAATTGTAAGGTTTTAGAGGAGATTGTTGCAAAAGAAGGAGCAAATGAAGATGACAATTTTGTCTTTCCACATGTAACCTCATTGAAGCTTGAATATCTACCAGAGTTTACAGGTTTCATCTACTTTGAATGGCCAATGTTAAAAGAGTTGGTGGTGAAATGTTGTGACAAATTCATGACTTCAAAGTATTTGAGCTTCCAAGAATAACGAGGAAGGTGAACTTCATTTTTCAGAGCCAAAAATCTCTCTTCTTGAATGATAGGATGAGTATTTAATTATTTGATTGTTTATTGAAAAATAAATTAACTTAAATTATGCTTCCAAGTTTTAATTACATTAAAAAATTCATTTGAAAACAATAAATAAAAATGAATGTAATCTATATTATATTTGTTTTTTGCAAAATAATGTAAACGAAAAACAAAATATCTAAAAAGTATGTTTAATTAGTAGTTTTTTTTTTTTTTTAAGTTTTGAATGCAATTTTAATATTGATTGACATAAAAAAAATAACAAAAATATAACTTGCTAGTTTTAAAATGTTGTAGTTGAACTATCAAAAACAAGAAATAGATTTTCTTTAAAAAAAAAAAAAAAAAGGTTGCCTCCGTTATTTGTCTTTGGCCTATGACTTCTAAGCCAATAATAAAAGTCTTGTTTTAAGAAAATAACAAGCTATCTGGATTTTGTTTTGATGGATTTCTAGATCAAGTTGGATTTGAAGGAATTGGATTTAAATAATAAAAAAAATTAAAAATTATATTTAATCAATAGTTTTCAAAATTAGTTTTGGAATGTAATTTTAATATTGATTTGAAATTTGAAATAATAATATAATGTTATTTACTAGTTTTAAAATATGTTGTAGTTGAATTATCAAAACAGTTAATTATATTTTTTATTTTAAAAAAATGCCTCCCTGATTTGTGTTCGCCTTGCGAATTCCAAGCCTAAAATTAAACTTTTGTTTTAAAAAAATAAAAAGCTAATTAAATTTTGTTTCAATGGATTTGTAGATCAACTCTGATTTGGAGGAATTGAAATTAAAGAATAAGTTGAGATGGACTGAATGGCAGGGACGATCTAAAACTCTTGAGATCAGATATGATTATGAGTTAGCAAATATTCCAGTTGGACTTCTTCGGAGATTTGAAAATGTGGAAGTGCTTCTACTAAATTCGTGTGAATACAAAGAAATATTCTCATGTAGAAAGGATGAGAAACAAATGCAAATCACTTCGGGGCCATCCCCAACTTCTTTCCAATATCTTAAAGTTCTGAGTTTATATTCTTGTACTGGGTTGATGAAGTTAATAACACCTTCAATGGCTGGAAGCTTGGTTCATTTGATAGAAATGAGCATAGAATATTGTGGAATGCTAATTGAAATAGTAGAAAATGAGGGAGATGCAACAACAACAACAACTGAAATTGTTTTTGACAATTTGAAGAAGTTATCACTTGAAGGGTTAGTAAGTCTCACATGCTTTTGCTCAGGGAATTACTATTTCAATTTCCCATCTTTGAAAGAGTTCATGATACATAATTGCCCCAACATGAAGACTTTCTCCAAAGGAATCTTAAGCACACCAAAATTACAAAAAGTCAATTGTCAAATATCCAACAACGACTTCCACCAGGGGGAATTAATGGAAGTAGAGAATGAACTTAATAAAACCATACAAGGAGCATACAAAAAACAGGTATATGTATTGAATTAATTAGTTTAAATATTTATTTTTAAATAATATTATGTTTTTAGTGTTAATTATAATAAGTTATTTTTTAAAGTTAGTTTGTATTTAGGTTGAGCATTATTGTTGAACTAGTGGCCAACGCACACTTAGACACCTCACTTTATTACTAGGATACAACAAATTCTGTCTATATTTTTCTAAGAAATTTCTAAAACTACACTATTTTATAAAATTATTTCTAACAATCATTAATTCATCATATATTTGTTTTTTCCTTGGTTCTTGTTAAATATATATAAAATTATTATATCTTTTTAAGGGAAATATTAATTTTAATTTGATTGACATGATTTTTCTTTAGGTTGACTCCAATTTGAAGGAATTGACATTAAGCGGAAGGGACATCATATCAATTTGGGAAGGAGAGTTTCCATAGAGCTTTAGCAAAGTAAAAACTCTTCAATTGATTAATGATGTATATGCAATTATTTCAATTCAGTTCCTTCATAAATTTAACTTTCTTGAATAACTCATATTGAAAGTGAGTTCATATGAAGAGATATTCTCATTTGGAGAGGATAAGGAACACGTTGGAGCACTCACAAAATTAAATATTTTAGTATTGAAAGGACTTTTTAATTTAAAGTGCATTTGGAAACAAGGCTCCCAGTTGAACTCAATTCTTCAAAATCTTCATTGGCTAGAGGTGGAATATTGTCACAATTTGACTACTCTGTTGCCATCTTTAGCATCTTTTGAAAATCTGAGGGCTTTGACGGTTTCGTATTGCAATGGAATGTCAAACTTAATGTCATCCTCAACAGCCAAAAGTCTAGTGCGATTAGAAGAGTTGAGGATATGTAGATGTGAAATGATGATAGAAATATTAGCAAATGAGGGAGGTATAGAGAAAGGTGAGATTGTTTTTGAGAAATTGAAGAATTTGAGTTTGGATGATTTAGAAAGTCTCACATGTTTTTGCTCCGAGGATTACAACACCTTAAAATTCCCTTTCTTGGAAAGAATATATGTGAATGAATGCTCCAAGATGAAAACTTTCTTTGGAGGAGGCTTAAGCATGCCAAGATTACATAAGTTGAATTGGAGAGATTGTTCGGAGAGTGACATTGATACAATCATACAACAATTACAAAATGGTAAGTATTAATTTACTTAGCAATATACTTTTTCCATAGACTTCTTTGTTCTCCTTCATTGAATTAATACTCGTTAATCCTCAATGGTCTTTATTATTAATTATGTCTTTACTAAATATCATTTAAGTGAATCAATTATAGACTATCAAGTATATGAAGAAAAAATCTACAATAGTATAATTTATTTTTCCTTAATTTATACGTGTTTTTTAAGCATACATTGATGCAATAGTTGAAGAAATTCCTCATTTTCTTGTTTAATTGATAAATTATGATTAATTTAGAGTTTGAAAATAACATTATTTATAGTTTTGCTTTTACTATTAATGTGTTGTTCTTAATGACTACAGATTGTTCAAAGTTATGGGAAAGATTCCCAGTAGAAGAATAATGTTCATCAACACACAACAAAGTCATGTGGTAAGTGTGTGGTATTAGATGACTTGACCTTTCTTTTTTAACATAATTCAAAAGAATATATATAACTTGCCTTCGCAAATTCAATTCAAAAGAATATATATATTTTAAGAAATTATATACTTAAATGTGATATTAATTAAACATTTAAGGGACTATTTAAATATTCTGTCAGGACAAAATTAAAATGATTTAAGCATATGAGGGATTTCAGTGATACCATCCAATCATGTAAATAAAATATAACGATGGTGATATCAGCTGCTCTGCAACAGAGTTACGTGTCTCTTCCTTGGTGGCTACCGACGATATCCGGCTAAATTCAAGTCCTCTCTAGTATCCGGCTGCGCAGCTGCAGTTTNTATTTTAACATGATTTGGTAGCAGCCAAGAGTAATAAATGGATAAACGGAGCCTGATATCCAATTTGATTTTATTTAGATGCAAATCTTGCCACATATTTGGTTTTGATAGGGTAATAGTGTCTTTTATTATTGTAAATTTGAAGAATCATATGCAATTGCCACTTATCCCTCTCATAGCTAATTTAAAAAGATTTTAAAGGTTACGTGTCCTTTTTTCTGGGATTTATGAAAAAACTCCTCCTTTTGTCATCCTCTCTATAATAATATTTATAGAAAATATGTTCTAAAGAAATTAAGGTTATTAAAAAACTGAAAAAAAAAAAAAAAAGCAGATAAAATATAAATTTAGTGAAAAATAAAAAAAAAACTAATTAATTTTATAGGAACTTTTTTTATTAATTTTTAAAAATTTATCATAAATCGTCCCTAAAATTTTTAGAAATATTAAAAAAAAAACTAATTAATTTTATAGGAACTTTTTTTATTAATTTTTAAAAATTTATCATAAATCGTCCCTAAAATTTTTAGAAATATTGTTGAAACTCTCATCAAATTCACAAAAAACCTCATTTTTATACATATGAATCTATTTTTAATTCTTTACTTAAATTTAAAACATATATCAAAATAGAATTCTCGTATAAGTTCATATTTAATATTTAAAGTCTTAAATATTAAAATATATTATCTTATTATTGAAAAGATTATCAAGAATAACAGTTTCAGATATCAACACATGAATCATGGGTTAATTATTAATCAATCCTCCAATGATTTGCTCAAGTCGTGACATATGTTTTGTTTTCTTTCTAAATTATCTTGTATCTTCCTCTTATGTAAAGCTTGTACTCACGTATATATTTCTGTAAATCTGATCAATGAAAAACAAAGTTTTCACTTATCTTCTTGTGAGATTTTGATTTTGCATTTATTTTCATGTATATATCAAGCCTATGACTTCTGAGCCAATAATTAACTTTTGTTTTAAGATTATGAAAAACTAGCTAATTTGATTTTGTTTTGATGGATATGCAGATCAACTCTGATTTGGAGAGAATCACAATAAGGGATAAGAACAGAGAGATTGAATGGCAGGGTCAATCTAAAGCTCTTACGATAGAAGATGATCAGTCAGGAGATATCCCATTTCAACTCTTTCAAAGATTTGAAAATTCGAGAGAGCTCTCACTTTATAGAAATGAATGCAAAGAGATATTCTTTCCAAATCTTCTAAATCTTGAAGTTTTGACAATTAACAACTGCAATAGGTTGATGAAGTTAATGACACCTTCAGTAGCTAGAAGCTTGGCCCAGTTGAGAGAAATGAGCATAGAGGATTGTGAGGCTTTAGAGGAGATTATTGCAAAAGAAGAAGGAGCAAATGCAATTGTCAATTTTGTCTTTCCACATGTAACCTCATTGAGGCTCGAAAATCTACCAGAACTTACATCTTTCTACCCTGAAAGACATACTTCTAAATGGCCAAAGTTGAAAGAGTTGGTGGTGATTAATTGTGACAAATTCACTTCAAAACATATGAGCTTCCAAGAATATACTAAGGAGGGTGAACATATTTCTGAGCCAAAATCCATTTTCTTGGATGATGAGGTACGAATATCTTATTTCATTGTTTATTAGAAATAATCAATATAATTTATTAGAAATAATCATCCAGTTTAATTTATTAGAAACCATCAAAACAACTAGGTTTAAACTCATCCAATATAATTTATTAGAAATAATCAAAACAACTAGGTTTAAAATCATCCAATTCAATCCTAGAAATAATCAAAATGTTTATTAGAAAAAATAGTATAATTTATTTTTAGATATATTTAATAGGAGGACAATGTTTTGTGAAACTATATTAAAAAAAAAAAAAAAAAAAAAAGACAGTACAAGTTTTGAAATAGTAAAAAAAAGGACAAAACATTGTTAGTGATCCTTGAATTTAATGGGAAAAAATCAAAAGATATAGATATTCATATAATGATTTAGATAACATTTTAAAGATAAAAAGACCATTTAACCTGCAAATGAAATATTAGATAACATTTTAAAGATAAAAAGACCATTTAACCTGCAAATGAATTTAGAAAAATTAATGGTTATTTAATTTGAACAATTTTACTTTAGGATCTTATCATTTAAACTCATTTACGTACTAGATTTAGAGAAAAAAAAAATCCAATATAATTCTTGAAATCAACAATAAAATTTTATTTTTACTAGAAATTGGTCTATCAAGTGATTTATTTTATTATTGAAAAAATTATTTACAATAAGTTTGCAGCTTGAAAGCCTATTAAACAAGATCATAAATTCAAAATTATTTTAACATGATTTGGTAGCAGCCAAGAGTAATAAATGGATAAACGGAGCCTGATATCCAATTTGATTTTATTTAGATGCAAATCTTGCCACATATTTGGTTTTGATAGGGTAATAGTGTCTTTTATTATTGTAAATTTGAAGAATCATATGCAATTGCCACTTATCCCTCTCATAGCTAATTTAAAAAGATTTTAAAGGTTACGTGTCCTTTTTTCTGGGATTTATGAAAAAACTCCTCCTTTTGTCATCCTCTCTATAATAATATTTATAGAAAATATGTTCTAAAGAAATTAAGGTTATTAAAAAACTGAAAAAAAAAAAAAAAAGCAGATAAAATATAAATTTAGTGAAAAATAAAAAAAAAACTAATTAATTTTATAGGAACTTTTTTTATTAATTTTTAAAAATTTATCATAAATCGTCCCTAAAATTTTTAGAAATATTGTTGAAACTCTCATCAAATTCACAAAAAACCTCATTTTTATACATATGAATCTATTTTTAATTCTTTACTTAAATTTAAAACATATATCAAAATAGAATTCTCGTATAAGTTCATATTTAATATTTAAAGTCTTAAATATTAAAATATATTATCTTATTATTGAAAAGATTATCAAGAATAACAGTTTCAGATATCAACACATGAATCATGGGTTAATTATTAATCAATCCTCCAATGATTTGCTCAAGTCGTGACATATGTTTTGTTTTCTTTCTAAATTATCTTGTATCTTCCTCTTATGTAAAGCTTGTACTCACGTATATATTTCTGTAAATCTGATCAATGAAAAACAAGTTTTCACTTATCTTCTTGTGAGATTTTGATTTTGCATTTATTTTCATGTATATATCAAGCCTATGACTTCTGAGCCAATATTAACTTTTGTTTTAAGATTATGAAAAACTAGCTAATTTGATTTGTTTTTGAGGATATGCAGATCAACTCTGATTTGGAGAGAATCACAATAAGGGATAGAAAGAGAGATTGAATGGCAGGGTCAATCTAAAGCTCTTACGATAGAAAGATCATCAGGAATATCCCATTTCAACTCTTTCAAAGATTTGAAAATTCGAGAGAGCTCTCACTTTATAGAAATGAATGCAAAGGATTTCTTTCCAAATCTTCTAAATCTTGAAGTTTTGACAATTGACAACTGCAATAGGTTGATGAAGTTAATACACCTTCAGTAGCTAGAAGCTTGGCCCAGTTGAGAGAAATGAGCATAGAGGATTGTGAGGCTTTAGAGAGATTATTGCAAAAGAAGAAGGAGCAAATGCAATTGTCATTTTGTCTTTCCACAGTAACCTCATTGAGGCTCGAAATCTACCAGAACTTACATCTTTCTACCCTGAAAGACATACTTCTAAATGGCCAAAGTTGAAAGAGTTGGTGGTGATAATTGTGACAAATTCACTTCAAAACATGAGCTTCCAAGAATATACTAAGAGGGTGAACATATTTCTGAGCCAAATCCATTTTCTTGGAGTGAGGTACGAATATCTTATTTCATTGTTTATTAGAATAATCAATATATTTATTGAAATAATCATCCAGTTTAATTTATTAGAAACAATCAAAACAACTAGGTTTAACTCATCCAATATAATTTATTAGAAACAATCAAACAACTAGGTTTAATCATCCAATACAATCTAGAAATAATCAAAATGTTTATTGAAAAATAGTAATTATTTTTAGATATATTAATGGATGACAATGTTTTGTGAAACTATATTAAAAAAAAAAAAAAAAAGCGTACAAGTTTTGAAATAGTAAAAAAAAGAAAACATTTGTTATCCTTGAATTTAATGGGAAAAAATCAAAGATTAGATATTCATATAATGATTTAGATAACATTTAAAGATAAAAGACCATTTAACCTGCAAATAAATATTAAACTTGTCTGATGAAGTCCAATGAAAAGAAGGCCCTTGATGATCCAATACACATACAATGTTTCCCTTCATCCTTTGAATAATTTGCAAACTCTTATTCTTAATTTGCTAAAATACTTATTACTGTCTTTTTTTTTTTTTTTTTTTTTTTTTTTTTTGCTATTTCAAGACACGTGTCATTTTTTGGAGTGTGAAACAATATCCTCTTTTTGTCATTCTCCCTTCAAAAATAACCTGCAAAAATTTAACAAAAAATATTTACTTTCAAGGAGCTTTTTTTTTTTTTTTAATTTTTTAATTTTTAAGATTTATCATAAGTCCTTCCTTAAAATCTTTAGAAATTGTTTTGAACCTCATCTATATTTTTCTAGAAATTTCTAAACTACATTGTTTTATATATATATTTATAGAATCTCTTATTTCTGTTATTAGAATTAATTAATCAAATAATTTATTTAGAAATAATCAAAACAACTAGGTTTAAATCATCCAATACAATTCTAGAAATAATAAAATATTAATAGAAACAATAATAAATTTATTTTTAGATATTATTAATTGGATGACAACGTTTTGTGAATTTAAGAAAAAAGACAGTTTTAAAATATAAAAAAAAAAAAAAAAACAAAATATCATTAGTTATCATTCAATTTAAAGGGAAAATTAAAAGACATAAATACCTATAATAATAGGAAGCATTAAAAAAAAATGACAATTTTTCTATAAACCCCGCCAAAAAAAAAAAAACAGACTTAGTTTTTCAAACAACAAAAGAAGAATACGTTTAAATTAGCCCGAAAAAAGATTTAGGCTATAAATTTAAAAAAAAAAAAATCCTATTTTATGATGAGATTATTTAGATAACATTTAAAAGATAAAAGACAATTAACCTTTAATTGCAAATGAAATTCAAACTTGTCTAATGAAGTGCCAATGAAAGGAAGTTCTTGATGATCCAACACACATACATATTGTTTCCCTACAAGTTGTCTTCATCCTTTTGATTTTTTTTACATTCATTCTTGCCACATTTTTAGTTTTTCATAGGGTAGTGCTTGTCTCATATGATGGTAAATTTAAAGAATCATATACAATTACCATTTCCCTCTCACCGTTAATTTAAAATGATTTACATGAAAATTTGTCCTTTTTTTGGGATTATAAAAAAAAAATCGCCCTTTTGTCATCCTCCCTATATAAATTTATTGAAAATATGGTCTAAGGAAATTAGATTACCAAAAAAACTTTAAAAAAAAAAAAATCCTGTAAAAATTTACCAAAAAAATTAATTTTCAAGGAAATTTTTTTTTTTAATTTTTAAATATTTATCATAATTTTCCTTAAAATCTTTACAATATTTTTGCCATTGTCATCAAATTCATCAAAAACCTCATTTTTAGATATGTCAATCTAGTTTTAAATCTTTACTCAATTTAAGAAAATATATAAATCAAAACAGAATTTTCATATAGGTTTCGTATTTAATATTTAATTTTTTAAATATTGAAATACAATTCATTTTATTTACAATAATAAAATATAGCTACAGTATGATATTTGAAAATTATTTTAAAATTTTGTTTAAGAAATATATTAAAATATTGTGTTTGAGTGGTAAATTTTATCGTCATGTACATATATTTTTTTTTCATTGAAAATTACGTTAATTGTTACAAGTGTGTATGGAATTCAATTTGAAAATATCTCAACAGTATATTAAAATAATTATATTAGGATAAAATTAGAGGATAAGAGTAAAAAATCAGTTCAAATTTGAAACAAATTATATTATGATTAATGTCAATAAATAAGTGTCTGCAGAGTTATGTTATGGTAAGATAGTATCTAATGTAATATTATATGTCTATAATGTTATTAGTTATAAATCACACGTTTTTATTATGTTAAAAAAGAAATTTGTCCAAAGTCCAACTTATTGTTAGAATAAGCCGGATAGGAGTTGGAATCTAAAACAAATTTGTCTTTGGCCTACCACTTCTAAGCATTTTGTTTTAAGAAAATAACAAACTAACTAAATTTTGTTTTGATGGTTTTGTAGATCAAGTTGGATCAAGTTGGAAATGATCAATACAAAGAAATTAAGTGCCTACCAGATCTTCCAAGTCTTGAAATTCTAGACGTAGACCATTGTAGCAAATTGATGACTTTGATGTCATTCTCAACTTCTTTCTTGAATCTTAAAATTTTGGAAGTTACCCGTTACAATGTCTTGAAGTTAATAACACCTTCAATGGCTAGAAGCTTGGTGCAATTGAGAGTAATGAGAATATCATACTGTGAAATGCTGATAGAAATTGTAGGAAATGAAGGAGATGCAACAACGAGTTATACTGAGATTGTTTTGGATAAATTGGTGTTTTTGTCACTTGAAGGCTTAGAAAGTCTTATATGCTTTTGCAGTGGGAATTATTCTTTGAGTTTTCCATCTTTGGAAAAGTTAGACATAAGAGAATGTCCCACTATGAAGACCTTTTCAAAAGGAATCTTAAGCACACCAAAGTTACATGAAGTTTTTTGTGAGGGGGAAACAAAGGATTTAGAAAGTGGAGGGAGTGAGCTTAATAAAATCATACAAGGAGCAGACAGAAAACAGGTATGTATTCCAATAATTATTTTAAGAATCTTATGTTTTAGGTAGAAGATTCTTAAAATCTCTCTTCTTGAATGATAAGGTATGAGTCTTTAATTATTTCATTGTTTATTAAAAAAGAAAATTAACTTTCTTCATATATATTACATTTATTTCAAAACTTTTATTATGAAATTTTTAACATCTCTACTTTTCTTTGGAAAGAAAATTTAGAAAAATTAATGGTTATTTAATTTGAACAATTTTACTTTAGGATCTTATCATTTAAACTCATTTACGAACTAGATTTAAAATAAAATAAAAATCATCCAATATAATCCTTGAAATCAACAATAAAATTTTATTTTTACTAGAAATTTGTCTACTAGGTGATTTATTTTATTATTGAAAAAACTATTTACAAAAATTTTGCAACTTGAAAGCTTATTAAACAGGATCATAAATTTAAAATTATTTTAACATGATTTGGTAGCAGTCAAAGAGTAATAAATGGTTAAACGGGGCTGATATCCAATTTGATTTTATTTAGATGCAAGTCATGCCACATATTTGGTTTTGATAGGGTAGTAGTGTCTCTTATGATCCTAAATTTAAAGATTCATATGCAATTACCACTTGTCCCTCGCATGCTCAAATTAAACAGATTTTAAAGGTTACGTGTCCGTTTTTTATTTTTATTTTTTTTCTATTTCAAGAACACGTGTCCTTTTTTTGGGATTTATGAAATAATATCCTCTTTTTGTCAGTCTCCCTTTAATAATATTTATTGAAAATATGTTCTAAGGAAATTAAGATTACTAAAAAACTTAAAAAAAAAGAAAACCAAAAAATAAATCCTCTAAAAATTTAACAAAAAACAATTAATTTTCATGGAACCTTTTTTTTTTTTTGGTTAATTTTTAAAAATTTATTATAAATTAAAATCTTTAAAAATATTGCCGAAACTGTCATCAAAAACCACATTTTTATATATTTCAATCTATTTTTAAATCTTTACTCAATTTAAAAAATATATAAAAATCAAAACAGAATTTCATACAAGTTCCATATTTAATATTTAATTTCTTAAATATTAAAATACAATTCATTGTCTTTACAATATTAAAATACAACTACAGTATGATGTTTGAAAATTATTTTTAAAATTTTGTTTAAGAGATATATTAAATATTGTGTTTGAGTGGCAAATTTTTTCGTCATAAATATTTTGTTTTCATTGAAAATTACGTTAATTATTACAAATTTGTTTGGAATTCAATTTGAAAACATCTCAACAGTATATTAAAATATTTTTCTTTAATTATTAATTTCTTATACAATAATTTATTAATTGGGAACTCAACTTTAATATTCTTTCATCAACATTAATTGTTAATTATTGATTGCCAAGGCCCATACTTAATTTATTATTGTTTTTTTCGTTTTCTCTTCTTCTTTTTTGTATTTTTTTAAAATTTTGAATTATTAGTATTTAAATGTAAATTACTTATCAACTAAAATATTTTAAAGAGATATAAAATTATAAAATGATCAATACCATTTTTACCCTTACAAAATGTTAAATCCAACTACCGCTAGTAATGTTTAGCCCTCTTTAAAACTATTTCAGAACATGTCTCTCTTTTCTTATAGTTTCATAACATTATTGCTCAATTGATAGTATTCTTTTTATTTTTACTAGAAATATGTCTAACAAATGAAACTTCTTATTATTGGAAACATTATACAAAAAACATTTGCCACTTCAAACCCAACCAAACTAACATGATCTGGTAGTGTTATGTTAAGGTAACACATTATCTAATGTAATATTATATGTCTATAATGTTAAAGGTTATAAATCACACCTTTTAATTACATTAAAAAATTTAATTAAAAATTAATGTAATTTGTCCAAAGTCCAACTTATTGTTAGAATGAGCCGGATAGGAGTTGGAAACTAAAACAACTTTTAACAAAATAGGTCATTTGTCTTTGGCCCATGACTTCTATGCCAATAATTAAAGTTTAGTTTTAAGAAAATAACAAACTAATTGGATTTTGTATGTATGGCCTTGTAGATCAGGTTGGATTTGAAGGTATTGGAATTAAATAATTAATTTAAAAAAAATTATGTTTAATTAGTAGTTTTCATAAGTAATGTAATTATAATACTGATTTGAAATTTAAAATAAAAATAAAATGTTATTTACAAGTTTTAAAATATATTATAGTTGAATTATCAAAAATAGTTAATTAGATTTTATTTTAAGAAAAAAAATACCTCCATAATTTGTATTTGGCTTGTAAATTCTAAGCCAACAATTAAACTTTTGTTTTAAGAAAATAAAAAGCTAATTAGTTTTTGTTTCAATGGATTTGTAGATCAACCGTGATTTGGAGGAATTGGAATTAGAGAATAAGTTGAGACATATTAGATGGGAGAGTCTATCTAAATATCTTAAGATCGCTCATGATAAGTCAGCAAAAATTCCACTTGGACTCCTTCAAAGATTTGAAAATCTAAAAGAGCTCAAACTATATGGAAATAATCAATACAAAGAAATTAAGTGCCTACTTGATCTTCCAAATCTTGAAGTTCTAGAAGTAATAGAGTGTAACAAATTGATGACTCTGGAGCCATCCTCAACTTCTTTCCAGAATCTTAAAGTTCTAAAAGTAAGTGATTGCATCGGGCTTGTGATGAAGTTAATAACACCTTCAATGGCTATAAGTTTGGTGCAATTGAGAGAAATGAGCATAGAAGAATGTGATATGATAACAGAGATAGTAGAAAATGAGGGAGATGCAACAATAAGTACTGAAATTGTTTTTAACAATTTGAAGAAGTTGTCACTTGAAAAGTTGGAAAGTCTCACATGTTTTTGCCCTGGGAATTACTCTTTCAATTTCCCATCTTTGGAAGACTTAATTATAAGGGAGTGTCCCAATATGAAGACTTTCTCCCAAGGAATCTTAACCACACCAAAGTTACCCAAAGTCAAATATGATGATGAGGAGAAGGATTTAGAGAATGCGGGGAGTGAGCTCAACACAACCATACAACAAGCACACAAAAAAAAGGTATATGTATTCAATTAATTAGTTTAAATATTTAATATTTAATAATATTATTTTTTAGCGTTAATTATAATAAATTATTTTTTAAAGTCAGTTTGTGCATAGGCTGAGCATTATTGTTTAACTTGTTTAACAAGCGGCCAACACATTTAGACACCTCACTTTTGTAGTTTTGTACTATGGTACAACAAACTTCATCTATATTTTTCTAAGAAATTTCTAAAACTACACTGTTTTATAAAATTATTTCAAACAACCATTAATTCATCATATCTTATTTTTTCTCCTTGGTTCTTGTTAAATATATTAAAATTATTATATGTTTTAAGGGAAATATTAATTTTAATTTGATTGACGTGGTTTTTTTAGGTTGAATCTGATTTGAAGGAATTGAAATTAACATTAAGTGGAAGGGACATCATGTCCATTTGGGAAGGAGAGTTTCAAGAGAGCTTTGGTGAAGTGAAAACTCTTGAATTGATTAAGGATGAATATGCAAACATTCCAATTCAAATTCTTCACAAATTTAATAGTCTTGAAGAACTCATATTGAAAGTGAGTTCATACGAAGAGATATTCTCATCTGGAGAGGATGAGGAACACGTTGAAGCACTCACAAAATTAAAAGTTTTAGAATTGTGGGGACTTTTTAATTTAAAGTGCATTTCAAAACAAAACTCTCGATTGAACTCAATTCTTCAAAATCTTGATCATCTAAGCCTGATACATTGTCACAATTTGACTACTTTGTCGCCATCTTTAGTGTCTTTCGAAAATATGAGGATTTTATATTTAGATTATTGCAATGGAATGCAAAACTTAATGTCATCCTCAATAGTCCAAAGTCTAGTGCGACTAGAAGAGCTGGATATAGGATATTGTGAAATGATGATCGAAATATTAGCAAATGAGGGAGATATAGAGAAAGGTGAAATTGTTTTTGAGAAATTGGAGAAGTTGACATTGTATAATTTAGAAAGTCTCATATGCTTCTGTTCCGAGAATTACACCTTAAAATTCCCATTCTTGAAAGAATTGAATGTGTATGAATGCTCCAAGATGAAGACTTTCTTTGGAGGAGCCTTAAGCATGCCAAAGTTACAAGATTTGAACAATAAAGATTGTTCGGAGAGTGATATTGATACAATCATACAACAATTACAAAATGGTAAGTATTCATTTACTTAACAATATACTTTTTTCATATACTTTTTCGTTCTCCTTCGTTGAATTAATACTAGTTAATCATCAATGGTTTTTATAATTGATTTTGTCTTTAATTAAAATCCTCTAAGTGAGTCAATTATAAACTATCAAGTATATACAGAGAAGCTACAATATTACAATTTATGTTTCCTTAAAGTTAATTTATATGTGTTTTTGAAGCATATATTGAAGTAATTGTTGAGGAAATTCCTCATTTTCTTGTTTAATTGATAAATCATGATCAATTTAGAGTCTAAAAATAACATTCTATACAATTTCTGCTTTTACTATTAATGCATTATTCTTTATAATTACAGATTGTTCAGAGTTATGGGAAAGATTCCCATATAAAGAAGATTAAGAGTTTTAGTTAGACAAGAGAGTGCAACGTTCATCGGTACACAGCACAGTCATGTGGTAAGTGTGTGGTATTAGAAGAGTTGGCATATCTTTTTTAAACATAATTCATAAGAATATATATAAGTTGCCTTCGGAAATTCAATTGATTGTATAAATTTCGGGGTTTATATATTAAGAAATTACATGGTTAAATATGATATTTAATTAAACATTTAAGGGACTATATTAACATTCTGTAAGGACAAAATTAGTGATTTAAGCACATGAGGGACTTTAGTGACATTATCCAATCTTATAAATTTATATATGAAGAAAACTAACGATGGTGATATCAGGGTAACAGAGTTGGGTTTTTCTTTCTTGGTGGCTAATGACGATATCCGGCTAAAGTTGAGTCCTCTCGAGTATTCGGTTGCATGGCTTCAATTTACAGTCAATTTCAAACGAGTCGTATCGACTACGCGCGTCCTCTCCCTTCCGTTCTCCTTAGCCCTTTCAAAATCGTCGATGGTCCTGCCAGTTCAACCGCCGGTAATTTAGGTCATTTTCATCGTTTCAAATACTTACCATTAAAACTAATAGAACATTTGTATTAATATTTGTTAATTTTTTAATTTCACAGATGAGATTGCCAAGTTGTTCCTAAATCTGTTCGCAACGATTGGCAAAATTAGTGCCAAATGATGTCGATTACGCTTCAAGCAGATTAGAAGTTGAAAATAGGTGTTGTGTTTGTCTGGGCTCTAGGCGACAGTTGAACACAGTGTGATCATATATGAAGCTGTAGTTTTAAACGTGATTTGCTTGAAATGTTGTTTGAAAATGTGATTTTTGAGTTTCGTTGCTAGATTTCTTGCAGGATCGTGCGAATTGCGAAAGGTAGTATCCAATTTAGGAAAGGTTTAACAAGGATAATGAATTGCAAATACATTGAATGGCTCCTGAATATATTTATCTAGAAAGAAATCCGGAACGGTTTAAATTGTATTTCAACTTGTGCAAGTATATTTTGATAGTGTATTGATATGGAAGTATACTGTTTATGTTTTAGTAATTTGCTTTTGAATATATTACAAGTTCTAATAGTTTGCTATAAAATAATTATATCAATAATTAGAAAATGTAGCTGGTGGTTTTATTGAAATTGATAACTGTAGAATTTTAAGCATGTGTGCGTTGGGTTGGCTAAGTAGAAGTAATGCTCAACTTGCCTGTTAAGGTTACATGATTGAAACTCGTTAGACTCTTCACTTAATGGTTGGATGATTTGGATGGACTTTATTTTAAGAGTATTCATATATATAAGACTCGTTGATATAATGGTGGATATCTTAGCTTATAAAAGTCTTGTTTTGTTGGGTTTTTGGTTTTAGTCAGTTATGAGAAAAGCAGAGGAGAGGTGTTCGGGCAGTGACTCAATGTATTCTGCTGTACCAACCAAAGGTTCCTCACCTTTATATCATTGAGAAATCTAGCCTACTTTTTTTAGATTACCCTGTCAGTTTTTGAAGAAGGATCAAGTCTATTCCTAGCCATATGTTTATGTACATTTAGCTTGATGCAAGATGAAAACAAATAAATAATATTTTTCAGCTAATTTATTTCTCCAATGTGTGCTATATATCTTAGTTTGGTGTCCTAATGTACTCAGTTTTGCTTCTGTTTTCTTTAAAGGTGACAGGGGAAGTTTCCTACAATGGTTATCAGTTGGACAAGTTTGGTCCCAGAGAAAAGATCTGCATTAGCAGAAATGACTGTGAGAGAAACACTTGATTTTTCTACCCAATGTCTTGGTGTTGGAAACTGAGGAGGTAGGCTTCCTTAAATTTAATTATTGAGGTTTTAGTCATAGCGACCTTATCACTTCCCACAAGTAATTAATGGGTACAAAAGTATTTTTTTCTGCCTGTGCAGATATGATGATGGAGGTCAGTAAAAGAGAGGAGGCAAGAATTGTTCCGGATCCAGATGTAGATACTTACATGAAGGTATTTGTCTAGTTTCAATCTCATGTTTTGTTCTATTTGCTGTTGGTACAGTATGAAATGTTTGACAATGGTTGTTTTAACAGGCAATTTCTGTCGAAGGACAAAAATCTACCTGTCAAACAGATTATGTTCTGAAGGTATTTCTATTTATTGAAGCTGTAACCATGCTTTATTTGGTTGATTTGTATCTGTGCAAATGCTTTAAGTTTATATGTTAACTATCTTTGTGGCTTCCCAGGTCCTTGGACTTGATATCTCTACTGGCATAATAGTGGTAGATTAGATGAGAAGAGGCATCTCTGGAGGTAAAAAAAGGAGATTGACTACAGGAAATTTGTTGTAGAAAGGTTGAAAGTTTTAGCATTTTGTACAATACATCTGCTCCATCTCCTTTATGAAATAACTGATTTAGAGGATTAGATGCATTTGATGATAACCTTAGAAGATCAATTTTTCATTAAATTATGTAGGGGAGATGGCTGTTGGTCCCACAAAGCCCTCTTTATGGATGAATATCAAATGGTTTAGACAGTTCAACAGTATATCAGATTGTTGCTTGTCTGCAGCAGATGCTACCATATTTATTTCACTTCTTCAGCTAGCTCCAGAAACCATTGACCTCTTTGATGACATCATTTTGATGGCTGAAGGGAAGGTTGTGTATCAAGGACCACACAATCAAGTAGTAGAATTTTTTTAAGGACTGTGGATTCAGGTGTCCTCAAAGAAAAGGTGTAGCTGACTTTCTTCAGGAGGTAAGTACATTACAGCTTACAATCATTTCTTTTCCGTGCTCAAATGTTCGTGGTTCAGCTTTTATCTTAATTCTTTTTTCTCGCAAGTAATATCTAGAAAAGATCAAGCAAAATACTGGTATAGCACTGAGGATATTACCATTATGTTTCAGTAGATATGTTGTCAAAAATTGAAAGAATCTCCTCTCGGTAAGAAGCTTGAAGACGATTTGTCATTGCCATATGATAAATCCAAAAGCTACAAGGATGCTCTTTCCTTCAATGTGTATTCTCTTTCTAAGTGGCAACTACTTAGAGCTTGCATGTTGAGGGAATATGTTCTCTTGAAGAGAAATTCTTTTATCTATTTGTTCAAAACAACCCAGGTTCTTCTAAACATTCTACTAATTTTCCTTTTTTCTTTTTTTTTACGTCTATTGAGTGAATTTTTTTAATCAATATTTTGTATTCTTAAATTACTTGTGCAAAGGCTAGAAATTTTTGAAAAGTGTAAAGGAACTTCTTATTACAGATTGTTATCATTGCAACTATTACCATGACTGTATTTTTGGGGACTCTGATGGATATTGATGTTCTTCATGAACTTACTACATGGGTGTCCTGTTCTTTGGACTCATGATACTTCTCATTGATGGTATTCCAGAGATGTCTCTGACTACAACAAGGTTTCCAATGTTTTTTAAACAGAAAGAATTGTGCTTTTACCCAGTTCAGGCTTATGCAATTCCTGCCACTATTTTGAAAATTCCTCTTTCAGTAATTGAATCTGTGACATAGACATGACTTACTATGTCATTGGGTACAGTACTGAGGCCAAGAGGTGAGTTTCAATTCCATGGGCCATGTTTATTAGTGTGTTGTATCCTTTCGTACAGAAGTATCCATTTATTTTGTATCCATTTTTTCTGTTTAGTTTTATCTTATTTTATTGATTTATTACGTTGCATCACCTATTTTCGATCATCAATCAGTGCCCCAATATCTACAACTTATCATCAAGCATTCTCCAAAATGACAGCATACTGAATTCTTAGGATTAGTTTTGTTAATCTTGTGTAGCAAAGTACAAGAAAATGATTTCATACTTAGGATATAAATTCCTCAACAATATGCTTAAATTCACTGTTCAAATTATTTAGAAGTGGTGGCTGCAGAAGGCTTTTCATGTCCTGGTGGCAGAGGTTCTGATATTTAATTGATTGCCGTGATTTTAGGTTCTTCCGTCCGCTCATTCTACTTTTATCTATGCACCTTACCTCTATATCCTTGTTTCAGTTTTTGGGATTAGTCTGCTAGACTTTGGGAGCTGCTATGACAGCCGGTGGTTTTGCAGTATTAGTAGTCATAATTTTTGGTGGTGTCGTTATCACAAGTCGTAAGGCTATTTGGACCTTCTCCAATTTGATTTCAGAATCATCATCCAAAAAGGTAAATTTATGCTTTTGTTATTGGTTGCAGCCTCTGTGCCTGGGTGGTTGAAGTGGGGTTTTTGGGTTTCCCCTCTTTCATATGGAGAGATAGGCCTTTCTGTGAATGAATTTCCTGCTCCTTGGTGGCAAAAAGTGAGCTCTCAAAGGAACACTTTTGATTCCTCTAATCAAGAAAACTGTGCAACAATCTTGTAAGCTAATGAAGCTATTAGTTCTTTTAACTATTTGTTTTGTTGATAGCTAGATGGTGCTTTTATCTATGTTAAAATCTATAGGAAGTAACTCATTTCCTCTGTGTGCTTCTTAATGTTATTGTAGAAGCTGCTCACAAATACTACCATGGGGACCCCAATACTTGAAAGCCGTGAATTAAACTTTGATGAATATTATTTCTGGATAGCACTGGGCGCCTTGTTTGGCTTCACTTTACTTTCAACATTGGCTTTATCTTGGCTTTAAGTTTCTTAAAGCGTAAGCTCATCTGGTTATCATGTAGTAACTCAAGAAAAATAAATGCTACTCTAGTTTGTTCACCCAACTGAATACAAATGCAGCTCCTGGATCATCTCGTGGGATGATTTTGCAAGACAAGTTGGCCTAGATTTAAGGGAGTCAAGATTCCAATGATGGTAACTTGTGGAAGAAAAGTCCAAGTATTCTCCTGCGAAAGGTGAATTTAATTTCTTACTTTCACTTCAGATTGTTGTCCATTTTTGTTCCAGTTGTATTTGTTTCACTTTAATGTTTGACAATATTTTCTGTACTGTCTTATCTTAATTAACTGGCGGGATGGTCTTGCCTTTTGAACCCCTATTAGTAGCATTTTAGGATGTCCCTGGGGTACTCCTTATTAACCAATCTACATTCACAATTATTTGCATTGCATGATATTTAAAGGCATAGGATCTCACACACTCATTTCTGTATTTTTTTTTTTTTTTTGTCTTTAACTTTCCTTTACTGCCCTTTGGTTTTAGGAGAAGAAGAATCTCCAACTACTTTCTGATGTTACTGGTGCATTAAGGCCTGGTGTTCTTACAGCATTAATGGGTGTTAGTGGAGCTGGAAAATCCACTCTTCTAGATGTTCTGGTAGGAAGAAAAACTACTGGCTCTATTGAGGGGGAAATAAAAATTGGTGGGTATACTAAGGTTCAAGAACCATTTGCAAGAGTTTCAGGTTACTGTGAGCAAACCACTGTAGAAGACTCGGATTTTTTCTGCTTGGCTACGTTTGTCTCCTGAGATTAACACAAAAACTAAGACAGTAAGAAGACTATTAATGTTGTTTTCTTTAATTGGTCTGAGGTAACATATAATAAAGTTGCTGACTTTTTTTAATAGGAATTTGTGAATCAAGTCCTTGAGATCATTGAGCTTGATGAAATTAAGGATGGCGTTGGCGTACCAGGTGTTAATGGTCTATCCACTGAGCAACGTAAGCGGCCTACCATAGCTGTTGAACTTGTTGCCAATTGCTGTATAATCTTTATGGATGAACCTAGAAGTGGTTTAGATGCACTTGTTAAGCAGTAACCCATTTCTTCAGATCAGGGTCAAGCATTGTCCGAACGAGGTCTT